CCAGTCTCTTGAGTACTTAGCTCTTGTAAAAGTAGATTTCCTCACTGATCAGTACATGAGTGATTTGTCTCGGTACCTCTGTAATCTGGTCACTATAAAGCTCAGCTCGTGTTATAAGCTAACCAATTTGACCTTCTTCACTATCGCAAGGACCTGCTCTTTGCTGAAAGAAATTGAAATGAAGAGAACAAAGTTGGGGAAAGAAGACTTGTTTATTGATTTTACGAAGAACCCACGAATCAAGTGTCTGAATTTGGCAAGGAATCCGTACCTGAGTGATGGATGCCTTAAAAAATTTGCTTCAATCTGCCCAAATTTGGAGATACTTGATTTGAGCTCCTGTTCAGATATTACAGAAGTTGGCATTGCTGAAATTTTCAAGAGTTGCTGTGATGTCAGACATGTACAGATTAATTTCTGTGCAGGGGTTAAGAATATTGGAACAGGTTCCGAACTTCCCAAATTGGAGATTCTGTGTGCACCCAGGTCGGGGATCGCTAATGAAGGGCTGGCGGCGATTGGAAAGAGATGCCACCGGCTCCTAAAGTTGGACTTGGAGGGTTGCGTGGGAGTGACCACAAGAGTGGTGGAGGAAGTGGTGAGTGCCTGTGAAACATTGAGGGAGATAAATTTGAAGGGTTGCCATAATGTGAATGTCGGTATTGTAGATTGGATGGTGTTTTCAAGGCCATCCCTAAGGAAAATAATCCCACCCTCTTATTCTTCTTTTACTAAAAACCAGAAGAATTTTTTCTTGCGCCATGGATCTCTGGTTTGGGATGGCTAGCTTCTAGCGGAACCAGTTTAGGCTGCTGTAATAAGATTGTTTTTACTTGTGTAAAATTATATTTTGTATACAATCAATTGTTTGAGATGACATTACGTCTGGATCTTTACATTCTAAACATGGCATTGTTACTTGTTGCAGTTTCGGCTTTGATGTCCAACGCACAAGAAAATTGTCTTAAGTTGCAATAAGACAATGTGGTCACGAGTGCATCTTGTGCAGTACATTTAAAACTTTCATGAGTGCATTTTTTCTTCTTGTACCTGTGTTCAGAACAGACAGCTCTCTCTCTCTCTCTCTCTCTCTCTCTCTCTCTCTCTGGGTGGATATTTTTGTGGGAATGTATTGTATTTTTCTCTACTAGTTCACTTTCTCAATTACATCTCTACCTAGGAGAACAGACATCCCAGATTGCATAAATTACCGGGAATAGGCAATGACGATCTTCCTGAAACTTTATTAGCTTCAGATGCTCGCTTCAATTGCATATTGGAGTGTTATTCTAGGAGCATTAAGTGTGTGTGTGTGTGTGTGTGTGTGTGTGTGTGTGTGTGTGTGTGAGCGCGGGCACACACACAGGCGAATGTGGCTGAAATATATCAGTGCCAAACTACTAATCGAATGGATTAATCAAAGTAAGCCAAGTATAGAACTTGAAATAGGAGAATCAGAACAAAATATACAATTGAACAAATCCAATAACTAACCAGCGCCTCAGGCAATCCATAAATCTCTGACCCCGGTTGCTCTTTTATATGATCTAAATTTGAACATTCATGTTCCATGACGACATCTAACATTTCACAAAGAAAGGGGAAGGGAAAGGGAAAGAAACATATTAAGAAAGTCCAATCCATCTTTCACAAAATGAATGAAAACATAGCAATTTCATTTGCAAACAAAACTGACATTGGTACATGCTTGTCTAATTCTTATAATCTGGATTGTCCCGTAGACCAAATTTAGAGAGAACAAGGCAGTAGGAGTCCCAGTCAGTTCTTCGGAGATATTTTAGTAACTTCTTCCTCCTCTGAACCATGGCTATAAGACCCTTCCGAGAATGCTTATCCTGCAGTATTTTGATAATAAATATATCACCTTGCGGGCATACAAGGCAGCAGAAGAAAGATCTAATACATGAAGCACATAAATGAACATGGGAGCCAAGAAACTTAATAAAACCAATCTACCATGACTCAGGTAGGAAACCACCAAGACAATGTCTCTACTATTTCATTGTAATCAAGTCAACTGTAGTAAATCAGTATATCACATCAATAATGCTGGCAGCAATTCAGCAGCATTTTCACAGCATTAAGTGAATGACACACAATCATGGAGGTGGTGTGTAATTCAAGAAACAATTCCTAAACCTTGAAAAAGATATGGTATATGCAACAGGCAGCAAACAGTCAAATATAGGCAACTTAATATGACACCAATTACCATGACCCGTAGTCATAAGCCAAACTTATTTAATAACTTCTTGCCTTTCTTGGGCTTCTTATTTGGAGCAATCAAGGGAAAAACAAGTGGATAGTGGAGCAAGAAGTCCAACCCTCCCGCACGGGGTTAGCTAAGCAAATTGTCAAATATGTCAACACCCACAACCAAAAACTGCAAGGTCACAATGAAGTCTAGATCGTTGATTGCTCACAACCAAATTATTTGGATAATTCCTGGGGAACATCAAGGGGTATTTGGAAAAGAAAAACCTAACGAAGTTTTTTGGAGATATAAAAATGCAATTCAGGAAAAAAAAAAAAAAACCATAAAAAAAGGAAGGATAAATTGAGAAGTATTTTGAGGAAAACGGGAATAAGGCTGTAAATCAATTCAGAAAAAGAGGATGATAAATTGAGAAGTATTTTGAGGAAAACGGGAATAAGGCTGTAAATCAATTAAAATACTTGCACAAGCTAAATGTCAATCTGCACAATCTACTGAAGATGATGATACTAATACAATCATAATGCACTCATTAAATTGTCATTTACTTGCACAAAAAAATTGTGATTTGGCCAAGTGTTAGGACCAGCAGTGGCCATGGACCAGGATGGACCAGGTTTGGTAAAGCCAACCCTATGTAATAACTCAGCATATATTGGCATAGGCACAGGCAGGGACCAACCTTGGGCCATGGATCCCTAACCCAAGCTCCGCCCTGCCCCCAAGGGTGTCTCAGTGCTAGGTTGAGCCAACCTGCTAAATGTATTCTATAATATCTAATAGTATCTTTCAATAAGCAACAATTCTCATGGTTCCCTCTAAGCATAAAGATTAAGGATGTCATATTGACATTTTTTCGAATGGACTAATGTGTTTTCAATTTGTGCACTGGGACACCCTTCTTTGACAAGCCATGCCGGGTCAAAAGTAGCTAGGCTCAAAACCATACCTTAACTTTGTTGGGCCATCAAAGGCTCACACAAGCCCTGCCCTGAGGCCCTGTGTTCCACCAATTTTTTTAGGCTGGGCAGCTCATGGTCACCCCAAATCGAGACAATAATTACACGTGAATTTTTTACATGACCATTAGATGAATAAAATTCCTTTTCCTCATTTTTTGTTGATAATTATCATTACGAAGAATCCAATAACAAAGGCAATCACAACAATGGTATAGGAGTCAGTGTGGAGTAAATTACACTGTCAAAGTGATTGGTGTGATGGAATTTAATATTGCGTCTTCAAAATGTGAAGTCTCTAAATCTAATAACATAAACAATGTAGATTTAGATTGTGTATTGTAAATTCAGTACGCTTAAAATAAGTAACAATTATTAAATCGTAAAGTCTATTATTATCTATCAACGACAATCATCTTTGTGAAAAAATCACACTTCAAAAGTACAAGATTAAAGCTTAGCAAAAAAATGTCATATCAAGACCACCCACAGGCAATTATGTAACACAGTCACATATTTCTAACCATTTGACATGGGAAATATACAAAATTGATCCACAAAGTCACCTTTTTGTGTAGAGCTGTAGATAGATGCTTGATCTTTGTTGTGAGTTGGGCCACTACAAAAAAATAAAGGATAGCATGTCAATGTCAAACCCTTGGAAAACGTAATAATATGGACAAGTACTTGAGGCATAATTTTGCCATTTCACTTTTGCAATTAATTCTTGCTAATAAATTCTAAAAAAAGGTTTGAACAATCATAAATTTTTAGATACTTGTCACAGTTTAAACCCCTTCCTCACTTACTTGGTTATGTTGTTTTGCACATATATTGTATAAGAGAACAGAACCCAAAACAAAAATAAATAAATAAATAACCCTTGCAATCCATCCAAATCCCAAGCAATGCACATTGGCCCAGGACAAGGTTTGAATTTTCTTATTCACCACTCAGTCCAGTTCGTAATACCAGAATATCATTCACATATAAATCGTTGCTGAGGGCATCACATAATGCTCTTTTCTTAAGCAGTTTTGACACATCGGAAGAATAGGTCATGTGCTTTTCTTGAGTCAGGAAAGCATATGGAAGTATTTTGCCTCATCATACTAACAGGGTTCCCTAATCCTAGATTCTTACCTAAACTTTTTTTCTTTTTTTCTTTTGGAGGGGGGTGTTGGGGAAGGGGTTTAGCCCCACTTATGCATGTATTTCTTCCTACCATTTTCTTTCAAAACACAAGCTTCACAATTCAAGTTATCCCCATTTACACCATATACAAATCTTGTTCTGTTTTCTGAGCAAGAATCACAGCACTTCAATATCTTTACCATGATACAGAATCCAAGTTCTTATGGAAAAGCACGAATTTTATCATCAATATGATGATCGGAATGTAGACTAGAAGCATAATCTATGATGACGCATCCCCCATGACCAGCGTAACCATTTTATGTATTAGGGTATGAAAACTCCTTTGTGCCATTAGATATTTGAACTACATCATTTTGCCAGCAGGTTTCTTTAAAAAAGGTCTCAAGTTCCACAGAAACCCGTTTTGCCACTATTACAATACAATGAATTCTCTTATAATCATAACCTTAGTCTTTTCTTCCAAATACCATTTTCCTATTTGATAATTATACAACCAAATCCTTCAACTCCTTTGTAATTGTGTGCATATATATATGAGCAAACTAATAAGAAAAAAGGAAAGCATTACACACAAATTATTCAAGCAAATAAAAAAGATTACATGCACTCCTTAGATGGGAAGCCTTGATAAAAAAAAAAAATCATGCTTAAATTGCTTTACCTTGAACACGAAAAGATCCACAATCTGATTCTGACATCTTTAATTCATCTCTGACTTTCTTAAGCTCGAGTTTCATTTTCTCTGAAGACGACATGTTATCTGGATGGAAATACTGCATAGCACAAAAAACACTTTGACTCATTATACCATGAGAGCTTCAATGCAATCGATAATGAGAAATGGTTAAGAGGCTTCTAGTAAAAATGCCCAGAATGGAATCAAATAAATACATCCACGTCCACTTTTTAAAATACCAAAAAAAAGTTCTTCAAAGGATGAGAAATATCATATGAACACGGACCTATTCAAGAATGTGCAAGCTGATCAAAGCTTCTTTTTTTCACTCTTTTGTTAACTAAGAGGTCATTCTACAGATACTCTGAAGTAAAACTAGGGGGCGTATGAGTCCTTCATCTTTTAGAGAACATGCTCGATGTTAAAGTACCACATAGAAATTCTAAGTGAATTGGACATTAAACCTGTAAAGAATGTACAACCAATGTAAATGTGTGATTAAATCATCAAAACATTGCTTCCTAAGAAACACGAATACAAACACAGGTGTCGTATCGGATATGATACGGATACGGACACGAGGATACGACAAAGTTTTAAAATATAAGATACGGGTACGACAAGAATACGGCTAATTAATATAATATTATATATTTTTATATAAATAAAAACAATAATAATATGACCTAATAAACATTGAGCAATTGATTAATATCTTATAATTGAACAATGAGTTACCATTAAATTAGACATTGAGTTAATATGTTACAATTGAGTGGGCTAATACTAAATTAGATAGTGGGTTAATATATTTGACAACTAATAAATAGATAATACAAAAAAAAAAGGACAATTTTTTGTTTTTGGTTGGGAAAACAATATTTTTTTTAAAAATTGAATTTTAATATGTTCAAAACGTGAGAGAGAGACAAACATATAAAAGCAAAAGGTTTCAGGAACTAGGGCAAGCCGCTTCCCACGCATGGACAGAATGAGAGATCACACAGAGAAATCGCAGAGAGAGAGAGGGGCCAAGCCCTCTTGTGAAGTAGAAGAACGGGCAAAGAAGGAGGAAAGAAGAAGAAGAGGAAGAGTTCGAAGAAGACTTACCTGGCCAGTTCAGATCCATGGCTGAAGAAGAGATCAGGTACCATATCCCTCATGTATCCCACCCATATCCGTTTTTATTTTTTTTTTTTATTTTTTTTTTCTGTTCAAGACATTTGTAAAAGTGTCAGACACGTGTCCGGCCGTGTCCCACGCATATCCGTGTCCGACACCTCCACGTCGACCATTGCTGGAATATCCGTGCTCCCTTGATCACTTGCGATCATCTTATTCGAGATTGCAATTATTCAAGATTGCAAGGTGTGGTTCGGAAGTTCTTGTTGTACAGGATTATGGTTGCAAGACTATAAGTGGGACTAAGTTAAAGACAGTATACATTGTTGTATGGTGACGAATCTTAAGGTCTTCCTCAGAAGGACTGAAAAAGACCAACGTAAAAATTCCCTGTTTCGTGATGGAATGAAGTACAATTATTACACTAAAAAAGAAAGAGCATAAAAGTAAAGAAAAATACTGGCCTTTTCGACTAAATGTTCCTTTGGAGGTGCCAACATGAAGCTTGCAGTTCCCAAGACATTAAGTCTCTCCACTGCAACAATCACTTTGGTTATAATTCATCAATTCATTTTATAAAAAGGATCTGACCACAAAGTCTAGACATGACCATGCACATGGAGAAATATGAAACAGCAATGACAAAAAACAAAAAAACTTACAATAAATATCTTTAACAAAAAGAACAACAAGAACTGCAAAACACTTTCATAGATTCGATAACAATTTCTAGATTGAAGTGGCAGAAATATTCGAGTAATAGTTGCTTAATTATTCCGCCCTCCCACCTCCCAAAACGAGGCACTGTCGTCTCTTTTCTGAAATCATAAAACGGGAGCTTGTTTNCATAGATTCGATAACAATTTCTAGATTGAAGTGGCAGAAATATTCAAGTAATAGTTGCTTAATTATTCCGCCCTCCCACATCCCAAAACGAGGCACTGTCGTCTCTTTTCTGAAATCATAAAACGGGAGCTTGTTTTTAAAAAGGACAATACAAACGGAAAATAGAGCAACACTTGTTGATAGTGCATCCTTTCTGCATTGTGCAAATTTTGCTCAAAGGAATCATGTTTGCAGTTATAAAACACTACATGAATATTTTTATGCTTGTTTAGTAGCAGGAGCCAAAAATTCAACTAGTAATTAAAAAGGTCATGACAAATTTTAACAAACCAAAGCTTTTCTCTTCAAAAGGAATTAATGGATCTTCCAAAAAGTAGGAACCAGGCATATATGCAACATAATTAGACTAGCAGAACATCCTACAAATTAAAAACATACAAAAGACCAGAACACTAAGATTACTTTGGCCAACCATTCTATTGATGTACCAATTACAGTAAATATAATCATAGCATTGACCATTCACTCCCGAACAATTGTATTCAAATTGAATCCAACCCAACAAACAAAACACAAACAACACAGTATAAAGAACTTTAATATGATAACACAGGCACCAATTCACGAAACAAAATGCACACTTACTCGAAGTCTTCCTTGCCTTCTCAGCATCCGAAATCTGCAGCTTCGCCAGACTCTCCCTCAACTCCTTAAATGAAATCCCGCCAATCCTCGATTCCGACTCTTTCTCCTCAATCTCCCTCAGCTTCATTAGCCTCTCGTTCAACTCCGCCAACGAAAACCAATTCTTCTGCGTCTCTTTCTTTGCCACCTCTGGCCTCAGCATCCTCAACTTCTGTCCCAAATCCCCATAACTATACATCCTCAAAAACTCTGTCGTCATCGCCGTCACCTCCGTCTCTTTTTTCTCCCTCATTTCCTTCCCAAACACCGATGAGGGCAACCTGTCACTCCCCCCAATCACCACCGGCGATTCCTTCACACTAGGATCAACTGGCCTTAGCTTAAAACTCTCTTTGAACCTCGAAAGTGACATCGGATCGTTGGTTGTGTTTCCTCCAGACCCTTGATTTTTCTGCGATCGGAGATGACGTAAGCTCTCGCGAATGGCGTCGAAAGAGAGCTTCCCTCCGCCTTTGCTAGCTTCATTGGTATTGGAATCTTCGCCTTTGGAGATGACATTGCGCTTGTAGAGTTCTTGGAATGAGATGTGTCGAGAGGATTGAGAAGATGATTGGGATTTGTCGTCCGGGAGTGGAGCGGCGGAGCGGCGGCGGAATTCGGAGAGGTTCTTGCGGATTTCTTCAAGAGAGGCCGCCACTTTTGAAGGAGGTGCTTGCGGAGGATTCGAGGGGGAGGAGAGAGAAAATGGTTTGCGAGGTGGTTGGGGTGGGGATTGATGCTTGAGACTGGCTTTGACGTCGCTAAAGTACGAAGAGAAAGAAGCTTGGGATTGGGATTGGGATGAAGAGGAGGAGGAGGAGGAGGTGGAAGTGGTGGGGTTTTGGGGTTCGGCATTAGGGTCTGGTGTTGAAGATGAGAAGTAGTGAAGGAAGTTAGGGTTACGAAATGGCCTGTGTTTGGGTCTGAGTTGGAGAGATATGGCTGTCGACGCCATTGATGAGCTCAGAGGAGGTTAAGGAAACCCTAGACCTACTAGAACTGGGAATCGATTCGAGTTCGCTGCTAATGGGTTGCATATTCGGGTTTGGGCAGCGTTTGTCGGACCGGACCCATTTTGAGATTATGAAAAAAAAATCAAAATAAAAAATATATATCAAATTTTTTTTTTTTTGGAAAAATATTAAATGAGATTTGATTATAATAGGTATTCAACAACTATTTTGATTGGTGATAGTTATTTAANTATCGGACCAGATCCATTTTGAGATTATGAAAAAAAAATCAAAATAAAAAATATATATCAAATTTTTTTTTTTTTTGGAAAAATATTAAATGAGATTTGATTATAATAGGTATTCAACAACTATTTTGATTGGTGATAGTTATTTAATAATTTATTTGTAGTAATGTAATTTTACTGAGAAAATAGTTGATATTATGAAATTGTCAATAACTCTTTACTTTTTCAGTGAAAATATTACCAAGTCCTATCATATTTTTATGAATACAATTAAGTTCTAGTCCTTATAATTTATTTCTATTAACTCCAAAACTCCAATTTTATATTTCTTATNTACTTTTTCGGTGAAAATATTACCAAGTCCTATCATATTTTTATGAATACAATTAAGTCCTAGTCCTTATAATTTATTTCTATTAACTCCAAAACTCCAATTTTATATTTCTTATGAAAACACAATTATATTTTTATTTCTAATTTATTTGTTTTTATTTCATTAGTTTTTTTAATAAAATGTCAATTATTACCTCTAATTTTATAACTAGTAATATCTTAAACTACTAAAAATTTTATTTTTTTTTGCATCTTTACCTTAAGAAAGTGAAAATGAAAGCAACAATTAGCAAGAATTCATAAAAAAAATACTCAAATTGAGACACAAATGAAGATTTTTTAGCTTTTACTTATTGTTGAAACTACTTTTGGAAGCTCCAAAGTTTAATTTATTTAGGGTATAATTCTTCAAGATTAAAATTGGATTAACATTTTTCTTTATAGCTTATGTAATGATTCAATATTTTAGCTATCTGATATAAAAAAAAATTAAATTTAAATTGAATTTAGGTAATAATTATGTAATTGTGTCTACATTAGAAGGACAAAATTGGAGTTGAATGTGTCATTTACAAAGGTTTAGAATTTATTGGGAACAAATTAGTAAAAGTATGATTTAATGGTATAAATAATAAATATGATAATACTTAATAATTTTTTGTGTGAAAAAAATTAGATTTATTAAAAAAAAATCCTTTAAATTTTGCCATATTTCTTTTATTACCAAGAACTCCTGAACCTTCAAACAAGTGTTGTGTTCTTCTCTACCGCCTCCACCACCACCTATACCATATTAGTACAACTAGGTATGCCAGCGGCTCAAGTTCGGATTAAAATTCCATTGATTTGAGTTTGATTAGATTAGAAACTCCGATCTAATTATTTAACAAAATTTATAATCAGATTTTTAATGCAGAATCTAATCCATTCAATTAATATAAATAGGTTAAATTTAGCAAATTATAATGTTCAATTCTATTTAGTCAAATACACACTTAGTTTTATCATATTTCTAACTCACACTATAAACTATGATGGAATGTGATGTTACCTCAAACAACCTCTAGCTATGAGCTCAGGTCAGGAAAGACACAAGGAGCTCAGAGAACCGGGGGTGGAGTTCTCCTTGGGGAGATCGTAGCTGAACCAATCAAAAAACAGCTGGATGACTACGAAAATTGAGTCTCATGCATGAAACTCTCAACCAACCAAGATTCTCTCCTAAAATCAAGAAGGATCTCATAAATAATGGGCAAAGATCTCGGCTGAAATCCCACGGAATATAGGACAGCCTTATACATACTATGTAACACCTCCATAGGAAGGAGGATAAAAAAAAACAAAAACCATAATTTTGAGAGAGACCGGAGGAGAATACATTTGAGTAGGGAATAGAGGAGAGGGAGCAAGAGCCTCTATTGAAGAGTGGACTAGCCGAGCTCCTCAGTTGGTGAACCACTATATTTTTATTGTGTACACCCCTTTAACCCTCTCAGTTTTTTACTACAGCATCACACACGAGCCTTGTAGCTCTGATTCATGTTCATCACACGTCACCTGCACCTTTTTCTCATCCACGTTGATTTGCACCATTAGTTTGGCGTTGTCTGTGGGAACGATTGTTCCTATTACAAATAAGCTAATCTTTCAGTGATTGATGGTGTCAACACGAAACATGAGCAGAAGTCAAATAAACCCATCTCGGATGTAGGACCAACAAGGAGCCACCAATGGCAGACAGCCTGAGAATCTCCCAGAGACTGATCCTCCCATGGGAAATCTCCCCACAAATAACGAGATGGAGGTCATTCGCATCGTCAATCAACGCTTGATAAAGCAAAATGAGGAGCTCTTGCAGCGCCCACAGGAGGTGCATCCGGCCCAAGAAGGTCAGAACAATCCCCACTACAGGGATCAACAACACCTTGATCCACTTAGAGAAGACAACGAAGGGGGGGAGAACAACCAGACCTTGGGGCAGGTTCCCCAACTACCCCCTAGGAATGGCCACAATGAGGAAGTACAAAGTCAGAACCATGAAGGTGAAAAAAATGACGTCTCCCTTATCAGTAGGAGAGAAGGAAGCAATATTGGGAGCAACGCTTTAAGGGCATCCAACAGGAGCTAAGCCACATGAAGGAAACGGCCAGAAGTAAAGCTCCAGTTACAATGGACGCCTTGGTGCAGCAGACTGAATCTCCATTCACGCTTGGGGTGTTGCATTTTCCCCTCTCACCAAAGTTCAGGATACCATAGATAGAGTCCTTTGATGGAACCAGGGACCCCATAGACCACCTCAATACTTATAAAAACCAAATGGAATTGCACGGGTATCAGGACCCCATACGCTGTCGAGTATTTGCCATCACTTTGAAGGGTTCGGCCTTGGCGTGGTTTAACAGGCTCCCCCCGCCCTCAATCTCTTCCTTCAAAGAGCTTTCCATTTCCTTCGTATCCTACTTCATAGGGGCTCGAACCTATAGAAAGCTGAGCTATCACCTTTTGAATGTGAAACAGGAACTACAAGAAAACCTCAGGTTATATGTCCAAAGATTTAATTCGGAGTCGTTAAAGGTGGATGTCCCAAACGAAAAGTTCGTCATCACTGCCTTCATAGCTGGTCTAGGGGTGCAGTCTAAAGATTTGATGTTCTCCATATCAAAAAATCTCCAAGCAAGCATGGCCGAGGTGCTCGCTAAAATGGAGAAATACATAAACGGCGAAGAAGCCCTTCTTTCTAAGGTAGGGAGCTCTTCCGCACATAGAGACAAGGGAAAGGAAGAAAAAAAGAGGAACCAAAGTCCCAGAAGAGAGAGGGAAAGAAACAGATCTCCAAAGAGAGATAGATCTCCCAGATGAGACAAAAAGCGATCCCCAAAAGAAAGGGGAACGTTAGGGACCGCTTAGGCCTCCTGCAGCCTGAACTACAGCCGAGGTATGCACCTCAGCAATATACCCCTCTCACTGCGGTAGTATCCCAGATCCTATACGAGGTGCAGAATGAGAAATTCCTAAGGTGGCCTCCACGAATGAANTTGATTTGCACCATTAGTTTGGCGTTGTCTGTGGGAACGATTGTTCCTATTACAAATAAGCTAATCTTTCAGTGATTGATGGTGTCAACACGAAACATGAGCAGAAGTCAAATAAACCCATCTCGGATGTAGGACCAACAAGGAGCCACCAATGGCAGACAGCCTGAGAATCTCCCAGAGACTGATCCTCCCATGGGAAATCTCCCCACAAATAACGAGATGGAGGTCATTCGCATCGTCAATCAACGCTTGATAAAGCAAAATGAGGAGCTCTTGCAGCGCCCACAGGAGGTGCATCCGGCCCAAGAAGGTCAGAACAATCCCCACTACAGGGATCAACAACACCTTGATCCACTTAGAGAAGACAACGAAGGGGGGGAGAACAACCAGACCTTGGGGCAGGTTCCCCAACTACCCCCTAGGAATGGCCACAATGAGGAAGTACAAAGTCAGAACCATGAAGGTGAAAAAAATGACGTCTCCCTTATCAGTAGGAGAGAAGGAAGCAATATTGGGAGCAACGCTTTAAGGGCATCCAACAGGAGCTAAGCCACATGAAGGAAACGGCCAGAAGTAAAGCTCCAGTTACAATGGACGCCTTGGTGCAGCAGACTGAATCTCCATTCACGCTTGGGGTGTTGCATTTTCCCCTCTCACCAAAGTTCAGGATACCATAGATAGAGTCCTTTGATGGAACCAGGGACCCCATAGACCACCTCAATACTTATAAAAACCAAATGGAATTGCACGGGTATCAGGACCCCATACGCTGTCGAGTATTTGCCATCACTTTGAAGGGTTCGGCCTTGGCGTGGTTTAACAGGCTCCCCCCGCCCTCAATCTCTTCCTTCAAAGAGCTTTCCATTTCCTTCGTATCCTACTTCATAGGGGCTCGAACCTATAGAAAGCTGAGCTATCACCTTTTGAATGTGAAACAGGAACTACAAGAAAACCTCAGGTTATATGTCCAAAGATTTAATTCGGAGTCGTTAAAGGTGGATGTCCCAAACGAAAAGTTCGTCATCACTGCCTTCATAGCTGGTCTAGGGGTGCAGTCTAAAGATTTGATGTTCTCCATATCAAAAAATCTTCAAGCAAGCATGGCCGAGGTGCTCGCTAAAATGGAGAAATACATAAACGGCGAAGAAGCCCTTCTTTCTAAGGTAGGGAGCTCTTCCGCACATAGAGACAAGGGAAAGGAAGAAAAAAAGAGGAACCAAAGTCCCAGAAGAGAGAGGGAAAGAAACAGATCTCCAAAGAGAGATAGATCTCCCAGATGAGACAAAAAGCGATCCCCAAAAGAAAGGGGAACGTTAGGGACCGCTTAGGCCTCCTGCAGCCTGAACTACAGCCGAGGTATGCACCTCAGCAATATACCCCTCTCAC